TTCTTCAAGAAACTAAAATGCAGCTATTGTATGACCAAGCGATCCTGACACTGGGTATAGATCCAAAAAAAGAAAACCAGAATATCAAAGAGATATCTGCACTCCCATGTTTATCACTGCACTATTCAAAATAGCCAAGGCATGGATGAACCTAAGTGTCAATGAATGAATGAGTTTTAAAAAAATGCAATATTTTTAAAGAAGATTCCCAGAAGATTCCCAGTGGAGGGGCCCCACGGGTTGCCAGTGCGACTCTTGTGGCCAGCGCAGCGGTTTTGCTGGCGCCTCAGTGCAGCAGCTCCTCATGCAGAGTAAACAGGAGGAGATTCCTGGGCAGAAGAGCACCATCAGTCTTATCGCTGCTGTTTTGGCCGGCGCAGTGGGTTGCTCGGATTCCAGCACTGGGAATCAATAAACTGGGCATCCACTCAGAAGTCCAACTAGAAAGGCGGTAATCAGAAAGACGACAGATGGATAAATATAAAACAAAGGGAAGAAACCAGGCTAAAAAGGCTGAGAATACCCAAAATCAGAACCCCTCTCCCTCTACAGGGGATTACAGTTCCTCATCAGCAACGGAACAAGCCCTGATGGAGAAGGACTGTGTGCCATTAACAGAAGTAGACTTCAGAAGGTGGATGATAAGAAACTTCTGGGAGTTAAAAGAACTTGTTCTAACACAATGTAAAGAAACTAAGAACTTTGAAAAAAGGTTTGACGAAATGCTGAAAAGAATAGACAATATAGAGAGGAATATAAATGAACTAATGGAGTTGAAAAACACAACACAAAAACTTAGCAAAATATGCACAAGTTTGAATAGCCGAATTGATCAAGCAGAAGAAAGGATATCAGAGGTTGAAGACCTACTTAATGAAATAAAATGAGAAGACAAGAATAGAGAAAAAAGGATAAAAAGGAATGAGCAAAGTCTCCAAGAAATATGGGACTATGTGAAAAGACCTAATTTATGTTTGATAGGTGTACCTGAATGCGACAGAGAGAATGAATCCAAGCTGGAAAATACTCTTCAGGATATTATTCAGGAAAACTTTCCAAATCTAGCAAAGCTGGACAATATTCAACCCCAGGTAATACAGAGAACACCACAAAGATATTCCTCAAGAAGAGCAACCCCAAGGCACATAATCATTAGATTCACCAGGGCTGAAGTGAAGGAGAAAATACTAAGGGCAGCCAGAGAGAAAGGTCAGGTTACCCACAAAGGGAAGCCTATTAGACTTACAGCAGATCTCTCAGCAGAAACTCTACAAGACAGAAGAGAGTGGGGGCTGATATTCAACATCCTTAAAGAACAGAACTTTCAGCCCAGAATTTCATAACCCGCCAAACTAAGCTTCACAATTGAAGGAAAAATAAAATCTTTTATGAACAAGCAAGTACTCAGAGATTTTATTACCACCAGGCCTGCTTTACAAGAGCTTCTGAAAGAAGCATTATACATAGAAAGGAAAAACCAGTATTAGCCTTTCTAAAAATATACTAAAAAGTAAACAACATCAACAAAAAGAAGAATTTACATCGATGAATGGATCAAACAGCCAGTTAACATCAAATGGCAGTAACCCTAAATTTAAGTTGACTAAATCCCCCAATCAAAAGATACAGCCAAAACCTCACGGTATGCTACATCCAGACCCATTTCACATGCAAGGATACCCAAAGACTCAAAACAAAGGGATAGAGAAAGATTTACCAACCAAATGAAGAGCAAAAATAAATAAAAAGCCGGAGTTGCAATTCTCGCATCTGATAAAATAGATTTCAAAGCAATAAAGATATAGTGGTAAAAGGATCAATGCAACAATAAGAGCTAACAATTCTAACACCCAGATGCATAAAACTCATAAAGAGATTTAGACTCAACGAGACAGAAAATTAATAAGGATATCCAGGATTTGAACTCAGATCTGGAACAAGTAAACTCAATAAATATTTATAGAGCTCTCCACTTTAAATACACAAAATATATATTTTCCACCTTAAATACACAAAATATTGATTGGCCATTATTAATACCCATTTTTAGAATAAAGCTACATTCCCATTCTCTCTCCCTCTTTTTCTTCCTTTCTTCCTCTCCTTCACTCCTTTTTTTCCTTACTAAATAAATAAATAAATAATGCGATATACATATAGACAACTGAGTATTTTTCTCCTATAAAAAGTAATAAAGTCCTGTCATTTGCAGCAACATGGACGGAACTTAAGGTCATTACATTATGTGAAATAAGCCAGACACAGCAAGACAAAGATCTCATTTTCTCACTCATACGTGGGAACTAAAAGGAAGCTGATTTCATAGAGGTAGCAAATGCAACCGTGGTTGGTAGAGAGATGAAGAGGGGCTGGTTAATGCAAGTTTACAGTTCAACAGAAGGAACAAGCTCTAGTGTTCAGTTGCACAATAGGGCAAGTATAGTTAACAGTAATTCACTGTGTATTTCAAAATAGCTAGAAGAGAAAATTTAGAATGTTCCCAACATAAATACATCTTTGAGGAGAAGGATCTCCCAGTTACCCGTATTTGAGCATCACACTCCACATATTTACAGGCAACTGATTGTCAACAAAGGCACATCAAGAACACACTGGGGAAAGGACACCTCTTCAATGATTCCTCATCAGAAAAGTGGATATCCATGTGCACAAGAATGAAACTAAACCCTTATCTGTCACCACACAGAAAAATCAATCAAAACAATGACTGTCAGTCTGGAAACCATAATACTAGAAGAAAACAGGGGAAACGCTTCAGGACATTGGTCTAGGCAAAGATTTTACGGCTAAGACCACAAAAGCACAGGCAACAAAAACAAAAACAGACCAATGAGACTGCATTGAACCAAACTGCTTCTGCAGAGCAAAGGAAACCCTTAACAGAGTAAAAAGACAACCTATAAAATGGCAGAAAATATGTGCAAACTATGCATTGAAAAAGGAACTAATATCCAGAATGCACAAGGGCCTTAAACAACTCAGCAACCAAAATATCACAGATAATCCAACTCAAAAGTGGGCAAAGGATCTGAACAGACCTTTCTCTAACACGCATACGAAAGGCCAATAAAAATGTTCATCACCAATCACCGGGGAAATGCAAATCAAAACAAAAATGAGGTGTCATCTCACCCCGATTAGAATGACTATCATCAAAATGACAAAAAAAAAAATGCTGTCAAGGCTGTGGAGACAAGGGACTCTTATACCAGGCTGGTGCAAAAGTAATTGTGGTTTTTGCCATTAAAAGTAATATTTGGCCGGGCACAGTGGCTCACGCCTCTAATTCCAGCACTTTAGGAGGCTAAGGCAGGAGGATCATGAGGTCAGGAGTTCAAGACCAGCCTGGCCAAGATGGTGAAACCTGTCTCTACTAAAATTATAAAAATTAGCTGGGTGTGGTGGTGGGTGCCTGTAGTCCCAGATACTCGGGAGGCTGAGGCAGGAGAATCACTTGACTGGGGAGGCGGAGGTTGCAGTGAGCTGAGATCCTGCGGCTGCACTCCAGCCTGGACAACAGAGCAAACCAAAACAAACAAAGTAATAGCTACCCACGCCCAAAAAAAGGCACCTAGGCATAAATTTAACCAAGGAGGTGAAAGGCCTCTACAATGAGGCTACCAGTACTTTTAATGGCAAAAACCCCAATTACTTTTGCACTCACCTAATTGTACCGCCATTATGGAAACAGCATGAGAGGTTCTAAAAATAGAACTACCATACAATCGAGCAATTGCAGTAGTACTGGGTATTTATCTAAAGGACAGAAAATCAGTATATCAAAGGGATACCCGCAGCCCATGTTTATTATAACAGCACTATTCACAAAAACTAAGATATGAAATCAACCTACTGCATTTAAAATATGTGGTATATATACATAATGGAATATTATTTAGCCATAAAAAATGGTATTCTGTCATTTGTGGCAACACGGCTGGGCCTAGAGGACATTATGTTACGTAAAAGCAGTCAGGCACGGAAAGATAAATAATACTTGTCCTTACTCATATGTGAGAACAATAAGAAAACTGATCATTGCATGGAAGTAGAGAGCAGAACTGGGTACCAGAGGCTGGGAGGGTGGTTGGTTAACGAACACCAACTTAGATAGGAGGAATGAATCGGTGCTCTACAGCACTGCAGGGTGAATATGGTTCACTTTAATTTATTGCATATTCTCAAAACACTGAAACGGGATTTTGAATGTTCACAACACAAAGAAGTGATAAACGTATGAGGTAACAGACATGCTAATTACTCTGATTTGATACTACACATAGTACATAATGAAATATCACTCTGTATCCCACAAATATGTGCAATGATTATGTGTCAACTGAAAACAGAAGGAAACAACTATACGGATAAAAAACAGATGAGGGTTATCAGGGGTTGGGGTGGGGGGGTGGGGTGACTATGAAGGGACATGAGGGCACCTTTTTGGGAAGTGAAACCATTCTGTATCTTGATACTGATGGCCGTTTCATGACTGCATTTGTTGAAATCATAGAACTGGCTCACTAAATAGGGTAAATTTCGCATCAACTGTACCTCAACAACCCTGATTTTATTTTGAAAAATATTTTTAAAGAAATAAACTAGGTAAAACTTGACATGTTGTTTACTGAGCAGAAACTGTTGTCAATCATAATGTAATTCGACCCATTTACTACATACATTTTACCAGCACCCCAGCCTTCACCAATCCTTTTAATTAAATGTTTAACGCCTACATTCCCACTTGACTCTAAACTCCATAGGTCCTTACTTTTGGTTAAATGTCAGCTTTTCACCAACTTTGTGGGTGACAGAAGTTCCAGAAAACAAAATATATGCAATTCAATGAGTTATGTATCTGCTTCCTACCATGCACTGACAGTCATTTACTTTCGGGTTTATGGAATAAAGGCAGAGCTCTCTGAAGATCACTGGGATACTGCCGTGGAGCTGCCTCAGTCTGGTTCCGTACCACATACCTTATCCTGGGTTTGGCAGCGGAAACAGTCACATTCGAAGCAGTACTGGTCCCTCAGCTGCTTCCGGCGCTCCTCACTGGTCATCAGCATATCCAGGTAGCAGATGGTGAGCTGTGCAGGCCAGAGAGAGGGAAGCATTCACAAATCTGTTGTGCTCATTTCTTTAACAAATGGTTATTATTATTGCTAATTACTGGAGTGAAACTTGTTTTTATTATAAGCCAAAAATATAAGAGAGAAGCCACCACTTAATAGTTTCTCTACCCAAATAATCACAAGAAATTTTTAATCTATTTCCTTTCACTCTTTGTTATGTGTTATATATTATATATTTAAAGAACGGGGCTTATGATCTCTCTACCCACTTTGTATCTTTCTTTTTTCACTGTAATAAAATATCAAAAGCTGTTGTGCGTTTGGTATTACTAAGATTTGCTAATAAATTCTATAACCATTAGCAATCAGAGAAGCCAAATTAATCCTGGCAACTGAATGGGTGGCAGATGATGCAGCCAGATTGCTCTTAAATTCTAACCAATTCTATAGCTGCCTCATGGAATTTAAGGTCATCCAAATTTGGTATCTTTCAAATGAGACAACAGTTCTCTTACTTGTAACTAGGTTTAAAAACATGTAGAATAATTTCCAAATGGGGAGAGTTTTGTGCAAGTGCCATCACTTATGGAAGCATTTAAACTGATCGCCTTATACCCGTTCAGAGGAACACCCCCTGCCCTGGACAGTGAAGGGCTGTACATGAGCGGATGTATTGAAAGGACCCCTCGGACTACTCTCTAGTGCTGAGTCCCCTTTAAGTCACAGGTCTTTAGGCAACATCACAATGCTTAGGTATTTGCACTTGACTAGATCACTTACGGAAGTCTAACTCAAAATACAGAAAACAGAATGCTTGATCTTCCCCTCAACTTGCTCACTCTCAGTTGACAGTAACTCGTCTTTTGTCTTACCCAAGCTGAAGCCTCAGCATCATCCTTGACTTCACACTTTCCTTTACACCTGCCATTGAATCCACTAGGAAATTCTGGGGCCTCTACCTTAAAAATGACCAACCACTTTTTACCATTTCCAATGCTACCATCCTGGGCTAAGCCATCATTACCTCTTACCTGTAAAATGCAATAGTCTCACTGACTATTGCTGGTCTCCCTGATTCTTTCCCTGGGCCCCCTGCACTCCACCTTCTAGTCAGAGTGCTTCACTTAAAATATAAGTCAGATGACACGTTCTGTTTGAAACAGCTCCCCGCTTTGCCTGTGTACAGACCAGGTCCTTACAACTCCACAAGTGCAACTCCAAGTGTGGACCCAGACTGGTGCTAGTGCACGCTGCGGGCCACCAGTCCACGATGAAATGAGTAAAGAAACACAGAGTCAGTATTTATAAATGGTTTTGACTAATTTGATATGGGTAGTTTTAGATGACTAATAATAAAACATAGGGCTTTTAAGACGGGGCCTCTCACTCTGCCACCAAGGCTGGCATGCAGTGGCATGATCACAACTCACTGCAGCCTCAATCTCCCGGGCTCAGACGATCCTCCCACCTCAGCTTCCCAGGTAGCTGGGACTAAGGCATGCGCCACCACACCTGACTAATTTTCTGTGTTTCTTGTGAAGATGGAGTTTCACCATGTTCCCCAGGCTGGTCTTGAACTCCAGCAATAATCCCTCCTCGACCTCCCATGGGATTTCAGGTGTGAGCCACTGCACCCAGCCCTTCTACTTTATGTTCTCTAAATGTCACTTTTCTAATAATTTATTTTCACTAGATTTTATAAAAATACTGGTCTGCAATAAGGAAGGAAAAGAAAAACAGGTCCTTCATTGTAGTTAGAGAAGCAATGGCTTCACATACTCCCACCCTGCTCCCCCTCACGTCCCCCTCTCTCGTATCTGCTGCAACACCAGGCTGGCCTCCTCTCTGGCTCCACACACTCTCCCACTCAAGGCCCACGCACCAGCTGCTCCCTCTGCCCTTCCGCCCAGTCCACTCTGACAACTCCCCTCATCTCCACTCTGACAACCACTAGAAAGTGGTTCCATTTCTCACCTGTTTTGAAGTCCTTTATGGCCCCAGGGGAAAAAACAATCTAAATTCGCCATCTCAATGACATATATCCCAGTATATTCATACATTGGTCCTAAAAGCTGGACCCAAATCCCACTTTCTCATTAAGGTCTAACCTTACAACACTATTAAAACTAACAACCCAACTCCCCTTCTCTAGTTTTTCTTTTCCTCTATCATATGTCAGCTTATACAATGCTGTATAAATTCCTTATCTGCTTTTAAATGTAGAAAGTAATTATGGGGGTATGTGTGGTGGGGGAAGAAGGGAAGATTTTAGAAGAGCAAGAAAGCAGGATTATCCACTGAAGGAGACGACACAAGCTCCCTACAGCAAAAAACTCCATGCGGTTTTTCTTACACTTAAAAGAAACATCTCATGTCTACAAAGTATGTTCTTACTGGTTTGAAATCACGGTACGGCAAAGGCGGCCATCCTCTTTGACAGAAACTGAATCTTTGGGAAGGCCTTGCTAAAGCTATAGGGGTGATGGTGGACGGCTGGGCTGGCCAGCCAGATCTGTCAAATCCACCAAGGCCATCACCATCATCAAGGTGACAGGAGCCACAGCCTGATCTGGCTGGCTGGCACTCTATACTCAGAATCAAGAGTAACTGCCCTTAAGAGATACAGACAGGCCGGGCACAGTGGCTCACGCCTATAATCCCAGCACTTTGGGAGGCCGAGGCGGGTGGATCACGAGGTCAAGAGATCAAGACCATCCTGGTCAAAAAGGTAAAACCCCGTCTCTACTAAAAATACAAAAATTAGCTGGGCATGGTGGCAGACGCCTGTAGTCCCAACTACTCAGGAGGCTGAGGCAGGAGAATTGCTTGAACCCGGAAGGCGGAGGTTGCGGTGAGCCGAGATCGTGCCATTGCACTGCAGCGTGGGTAAGAAGAGCGAAACTCCATCTCAAAAAAAAAAAAAAAAAAAAAAGAGATAAGAGACAGTGATGTTACTGAGGATCTACTGTTTGTGGAGAGGCCGCATAGAACAGTCAAAACTAGCAAAGGTCTGGGATTCAGGCAACACCGAAGCTTGCACTCAGATCTCGATTTAAGTCTGATGCTCTTTTTACATCATGGCTGCTTCTCATATCTGGCGGGGAGAGAGGGCTGTAGAAGAAGCTGGTGTCTCTTATGGAGTTTCTGTAGCACCTTCAAACCTAAGTACTCACACCTGTGTTAGGCAATGTTCTGTGGCAACTGAGAGCCTTCAGGCAAGACAACAGCCACTTTCCAATTTCCTCGGTGTTTCTCTTGCTCTATGATCTGAAGCCTGGGTTGCCTCTGAGACACAAAGGGTCACCTTACCAGGCAAGTTCTCGTTTCTAATGAATGCTATGTTCCAACTTCCAAATAACCTACTTCCAAGCACACTTTTTGAAACAACCTGTAAGTCTGAGATACACTAATCTTACACTATCAGGTTTTGTGGGTCCACGGGAGGAGAGGTAGTAGATGAGCCCATTCCTACGTTCCCTCTTGGATTAACTCTAGGACACAAATTCTGAATCCAGCCCAGTGCCTCTGAGTCATCAACTCCCATTATCAGAAGACGTAAATGGACAGTAGTTACTGGGCGATTACAATGTGCCCAGTGTGAAGTCACTAACTGCTCACTGTCACTCCGGAAAAAATGTGCTTGACTAACCCAAGACTCTAATATCAGGGCCAAAACTCACTAGTGATCTTGTCAGGCAGTGAATGGGCAACAGGAGACTGGTTACTTCATTTAACCCCAATAAACAGACCCTAAAAGCCTCCCTGGGCACACTGTAGCTGCCTGGAACCATTACCTGGACTATGCAATGGTTTTCTAACCGGCTTCCCCACTGCCTTCAGTATACCTTTCATCCTATAAATCGCTTGTAGAGAGATCTTCTGAAAACTCCCATCTGATCACGTCATTTCTCTACATGAAAACTTACAATGGTTTCTCACTGCCTGTGAATAAAGGCACACAAGGCTTCCCCTCAACTGCTTTTTCTGCCTGCCTTTGTAGCCTCCATGTGTCTCCCTGAGACAGTTATGTAGACTGCTATACCTCTGCAATGATGGACACCATGCCAACATGTGGCTGGCCTCACTGCCCATGCTAGCCTCTCCTCCAAACTCAGCTTACTGAGAGCCTCTCATGCTTCAAGCTGGGCTCAAATACACCTCTTCCTGCGAGGACTGCCCCACTACCTCAGAGAAAGTGACCCATATTTGTGCTTCTTTTGTGCCAATAAAGTCTGCAAAATATCTTGTTATCAACTCTGAAGGGCTCAATGGCAAAAATGTTTTATTCATACTTTTGGGAAAAAACAGCCAACTGGTAATGACAGCCAAAATCATGTTATTAGCCAAAGATAAAAACCTTTATTAAAGACTCACCAGTTGTAATGGAGTACCTGCTCGCTAAAGGTAGGGATCATTTAGTGGGAACATGTATCTGAAACTTGGCCATTAATCAGTTGGTACCTTAATGGCGCAGAACAAAACTGCATTAAAATATTAATGCCACTGACCATGCTTTGCCATTTTAGTGCGGCTCTTATGCAAAATGCGGTAAATCATTTCTGACACTGGCCTAGTATCATGAAGGAGACTTTCTAGGTCTCGAATACATTGCTTACATTAGAATCTCAAGAACAATGAACTCCTTTTCCATGAAGCCATCTTTTCATTGTCTGCAACTCGGTGGGGAAGATGACCAAATTACAATTAGACCTTGTTTCATTTCTAGAATCACATGATCAGTTACAAGTTTTTCTGTTAATACTGGCTCTAAACTGGAAAAAAGGCTAAAAAATACCACTTCCTTTTAAAGCAAAGCCTAAGTATCATTTAGCCTCTTCTTGCTTCACAAATCCTGCTAATTTTACTTTCTAAATATTATCTTTTTCAGATACCCTATCACAAGCCACCACCTGATCACCCCCTGACTTCAGGCTACCACTGTTATCTCTTCCTTGGGTTGCTACATTGCCCTGACCCTCATTCTCCCAACCTTGCCAACATGCAGAGCATGGCACAGGCATCTGGGGAGGGCCTTCCTGCTGCCTCATAACACGATGGAGGGCATCACATGATGAGATGGCAGGAGCATCCCCTTCCTGTAAACCCACCAATCCCATCATGGGGTTCCCACCCTGATAACCTTACCTAATCTGAATTACTTCCCAAACACTCCACCTCCACAAACCATCAACAATTTGGGGATAAAGTTTCCAACAGATGAAATCTGGGAGACACATCAACAAAAGGCCTTGAAGGGCATTAAGACAAATAGACACAGTGGACAGAGAGAGGAACAGTGAATCAGGGGAAACGCAGTTCAGCTAGACCTACCAAATGGAATGGAGAAATGTTTATTCTCTTAATAAGCTGATATATATGAAGGACCTGCGGGGACAACTTCTTCTTGTTGAGAAGATGCCTTGCTAAGTACCAGAGAGGAGAATATCTGAGTCTGAAGGGCTTTACACTGAGGAGAAATGTTTCGTATTTGCCAAGAGGAAGGATTTGCTTGCTGCTCCAGAGATGCAAAGAGAAAGACGTGAAAAGTCAGAGCGGCACTGAAAGACGAGGTGTTTCATTCCACTAAGAGAAAACCAACCATGGAGAGTAACTGGCAGCCAACCTTACGAAAATTTAAGAATCTGCGGTTTGAAAATTCCAACCAATTCAAATTGCTTTTGTTGAGTTACCTGATTTCTTCATTTGCAAAAACATGGTCGTCAACAACAGCAGCAGCCACTCTCGCTAAAAACAGGAAGTGGTTCCATTTCTTACCTGTCTTGAAGTCCTTTATGGCCCCAGGGGAAAAAAACAACCTAAATTCACCATCTCAATGACAATATATCCCAGTATATTTCATACACTGGTCCTAAGATCTGGAAATTTAGCAAGTAGTTGTGTAAGAAGTGGTTCATTCCACTGAAAAGCACTTTGGGGAGAATCTTGTCAAAGCCAAATCCCTGTCTACATAAAATATGGTACCTCTGAGTTTAGGTTTTATTGGCTGACTGCTGCATAAATGCAATAAAAGCTTTTGATATAGTTTTCCTTGCAATAAATATCCACTTTAGCAAATTGGAAAGGAGAAGGAAATGGGTTCTAGAAAGAGGAAATTATCTGAACCTCGGAACTCGGCATGGGCAGTCACTGCAAACCAGCACAGGCTTAGGTTCAGAGCCCCAGAGCAGCCCATGTGCAGCTGCCTTGTGAGAGGTTCTTCACCAAAAGAGGCTGGCTGGGCGGTCTGTAACAGTGGAGAGGCCAAGGCCAGTTCACTGCTGGAGGCCATCCTCCTTGCCCTCTATTCCCTTTGCCTCTTGGCTTAAATGATCGCTCAGAGATGCAGACAGCTTTGTAAAGTCGCAGTGTCAGCCCGAAAGAGTATAAGCTGTTTGCTTTATTAACACAAAGTAACATGCATAACTACCTTCAAAATGCAGTCGGTGGCCTTTTGAGTGAGTCAGTCTTGGGGATCCCATTCACAAGCTGGGATGCCCTCTCTGCCCACGGATGGATGTGAGAGGCTGCTGAGCTGTTGCTGCCAAGGAGATTTAAGGATGTCCCTGCGTGTGCATAAGGCACACACATCTGTCACTCTCACACACCCTCTGTCTCACACACACCCTGTCACACACACACACCCCCTCTGCCACACACACACACCCTGTCTCACACACACCCTCTGTCACACACACACCCTGTCACACACACACCCTGTCACACACACACCCTGTCACACACACACACCCTCTGTCACACACACACCCTGTCACACACACACCCTCTGTCACACACACACCCTCTGTCACACACACACCCTGTCACACACACACCCTGTCACACACACACCCTCTGTCACACACACACCCTGTCACACACACACCCTGTCACACACCCTGTCACACACACACCGTCACACACACACCCTGTCACACACACACCCTGTCACACACACACACCCTGTCACACACACACACCCTGTCACACACACACACCCTCTGTCCCATACACAGGATAGGCGCTGTCGTCATCCAGAAATATGGTGACCTCTCCCCTAAACATTTAGCCCATTTGTAATTTGGGGGAAGAAATGATAGACTGCTGGGGAGAGGTGACTGTACTATGAATACTCTCACTGGCAGAAGGACAATGCAAAGTTGTCCCCTCAGGCACAATCAGTTTTAGGGCTCGGTCTTTGATAGGAAAGAAGCCAGGTAGTGGGAAGCACGGGTTTCCTTACCTCCTCTCCCACCTCGACGTCTCGGACGGCTCGCAGTAAGAGGTGGGGCCCATTAAACACAACCGAACAGTTGGGGTCACAGCTGTGATTGAGCAAAGAGATACTGGAAAAAAAAAAGGGGAAGACTCACAGCTCAGCAGGTAGAGTGGAATAACTTATTTAAGAAATGCAGTGGGTAAAAGACACCTTACTCTGGGTGGGCAGCAGAGGGAGGGTCGACAGGACACCAGGGATAGAGAACTTGGGGTGCATTCACAGAACAGTCACTAGCGCACCCTCTATGAAGTTCAATTCTCCCCAAGATGGAGGGTAATTAGGGAATTCTATCGTTTAATAATAAAATAAAATTCTGAGTCCTCTTTGGGGATTAGGGCATGGCTGACTGGTTAGATGGTAGCCGAGAAGGCAACCCAACATGAAGGTGGGGAAAAACCGACTCACAAAGAAATACTCTGAGAGGGCCAGGAGCAGTGGCTCACGCCTGTAATCCTAGCACTTTGGGAAGCTGAGGTGAGTGGATCATTTGAGGTCAGCAGTTCAAGACCAGCCTGATCAACATGGTGAAACCCTGTCTCTTAAAAATACAAAAAAACTAGCCAGATGTGGTGGCGCATGCCTGTAGTTGCAGCTACTCGGGAGGCCAAGGCAGCAGAACTGACTGAACCACCAAAGCAGAGGTTGCAGTGAGCCAAGATCACACCATTCCAATCTGAGTGACAGGCAAGATTCCATCTCACACACAAAAAAATTAATAAATAAAAAGAAATACTCTCAGATAACGGGATGCAGCAGCCAAGATACCATCGGCCTTTCCCATAGGATCTCATGTGTTGAGCTCCTTTGGAGAAATGGCTCTTTGCTAGAACATCCACAATGAAGATTAATTAAGAGCATTTCCTCTTAAATAGCTGATATTATTTTGCCAGCTACATTGTGATGCATCCTGGGCCGTGTCATTTTATTACCTGGGAGGTACATTTTTTACCTTCTGGGAAAAAAAAATGGATTTAAGCTGCTCTCATCAGTTGATACTAATTAGAATGAGCACTTATTATGTGGAAACGTTCTTACATTCAATCCTCACAACAGTCTTACGAGGATCATTTATTGGGCAAGAGACTAACACACAGAAATTAAATGACTTGCTCAAGAACATACAACCAGTAAGTGGTGACAGAATTTGAACCAGGTGGCCTGAACTAAGAGCCCACGCTTTGAATCACTCAATGTTACTGCTTTTTGAGAACCACTACCAACAGATCTGACCTATGGTTAATCACAATTGTGAGAAATAAGGAAAAGGGCTGGATTCTTAGATTAACAATTACTAGAAAGTCTACATTTGTATTTAGACTCTTACGGCATAAAAACAAAATGGAACTGGGAGTGACTGTAGTGCTTGTGGAAAGACGGTTTCATAGCTCAGTGGCAAGGGTCAGCTCAGTGAGGAAGCATTCAGGGGCCAGAGCCTGACAGTTTTCTTGCCTCCGCAAGTGAAAGAGTTCAGCGTATGTCAACTCAAAAGACAAAATGAACCCAACTGATGTGCACGGTGAATCTGGTGAAATTATCATGTGTTTCAGCTCAGGAAATTGGGAAATAAGATCAGTGGAGGAGTGAGGGAATAACCAAAGATCAGCCTGATGGTTAATTAGCACCCACAGTTCCCCTGAGAACAAGAATTTAGGACTGAGATCTACCTCTGTGTTAATACCACAGCATATAATGTAGGGTTATAAAATTGTTTTCTTTAAACATTTTCCATTTTTTTTGGTAATTTATTGCTAAGTTTTAAGCTTGGCTCTTCAACCAGCTGCTGCAACTGTCTTTCTAACTATCCACAAAGGGCTGGGAATTTGGGTGGGAAGAAAAGCTGTGTCTTCTAGTAAATGAAGCACCATACACCATACCTAGGATACAGGCCAACACCAACTTCCTGCATCTCTGCGTTACAGATGGTGAAGGAGTTGCAGATCACCTGTAAAAACAAGGGGGAAAACCATCAATATAACTAGAGTCACTTAAATTTCACAGCCAAGAGAATAAAAATTTTCAAAATCAATGTAGGAGCGCCTTCGTAGTTGCTTAGGAAAGATTCAAGCCATACACGAATGCTCTTCAATTTATAATAGAATTTATCTGGATATACTCCCCCTCAGAACGTCAGGGGCTACGTGTAGAAATAACAACCTCCTGGGAAGAAAAAACAGACTTAAACCACCATAGGAAGTATTAATTTCTGTCTCATTATCCACTACACCCCAAGGTACAGTTACATGAAATGTTCAAAATTCAGAACGTAAGTAAGCTATTTATTGAAAACTAGACCTGGAGCATGGGACAGTCCTATGTCTTATGTGGAGATGGAGCAAGAGCAATAAAAAACGCAGCCACCATGCTCAAGAAACTTAAAAACCTCTTTTGTGAAATAAGATTGACCTGTGAAGCCACACAGAACCATGGAAAGAGCACTGGACCACAATCAGGTAATCTAGATCCTGGCTGCACATCACTGCTTCAGACAGGTGCTGGGAAAGAGCAGTGAGGACAAACCGAAGTTCCTGCTTCCCAGAGCTCAAGTTCTAGCTGAAGAGATGGATTTAAAAGAAAAAACAAACCCAATGATAGAAAACTGTCATGTGTAGATAAATACCAAGGAGAGAAACAAGGTCCTTGGGGAGAGACAGTTGTCAAGAAAGCCCTTTAGGATAAGCTGACATTTAAGCAGTGACCCGAAGGGACTGCTGAAATGGACATGTGTATATATAGGCGATGAAGGTTCGTATCAGGAAAAAGTTAGTGCAAAGGCCCTAAGCTGGGAATGCCCTCGGTGACAGAGGAAAAGCAGAGAGGCTACTGTGACCAAAGCAGTCGGTAAGCGGAGGGGCAGAATGCGAGATCAAAGAGCCAGATCATTCAGGACCTCACCGCCACACTTGGATGTTGTCCTGAAGGACACAGAAAGCCACTGGGTTTTGGGCTGAGGCATAAAGGAATCTGACTTCTGCTTAAAAGGCTTGTTCTGGCTGTTGCATAGAGAATGGGCTATAAGAAGGTGAATGGAACTAGAGAAGATGGTCAGGAGGTCACTGCTAGAACCCAGGTGACAGATGCTGGTGACTTGGATGTCAGTGGCGGGAGAAGTGGGTAGACAGCCAACAGGACTTACTGCAGAACTGCTTAGGGGGAATGAAAGGAATTAAGGATAATACTCGAGTTTTTGGCCTAAACAAATGAATATCATAGCTACCATTTATTAAGATGAGGAGGAATTTAACAGGAGCAAGAGTGGTCATAGGGAGTTGAGAGGAAGTCCCACAGATCTGTTTTGGTTAGGTTAAATTTGAAGTCCAAGCAAAGTCTAAGAATGAACAATTGAAGTTCACAAGGGGAGCTTGGTTAGACATATAAATTTAGGATGCAACATGACAAACGCCATTAAGAAAAGTAAAAGAGGCTAAAGATTTGAGATGAACCAGTGACTACAAATGGATGCTGACTTGTTACCGTTTCTGTGAAGGAAAAAGCGATGACAAATTTCTCCAATGAGGTTTACATGGAAGAACACGAAGTATGGAAAGCATTGAGTCCTCTGAGGCTCTTGCACTGCTCCGAACAGCTTTATATGAAATCTAGTGCAACCTATCATGATTTGGCATTTTTTCCTCTAAATATATGATAAAATTGCAATTTCAAATCAGGAGAAAAGCTGTACAGATATATTTGCAAATAAATACTAAATTGCTTTAAGGACATCTATTTTGCATTAAGCTACAACAGTATATTATCTATATATACTTATGTATAAAATGGATGGCAAAAATATAGGACAAACAGCCCGATGTTTAATTACTGAAATTTTAAACTTTTTAACATTTTAAAATTTTTGAATTTTTAAATGTCTATGATTTGGGGAGAAACATAAGTTTTAACACATATCTTAAAGTATAACGAGAACTTCAGTTGAAATAGTCCACAAACAAAAAAACCAGGTCAAACACATTGACTCTGTTAACTTTTGAATCAAAACGACATTGTTTTTTCCTGAACTATGAAGCAAATTAAAGATTTTTTCAAAATGGGAAAAATCTTTTATCAGCTTTATTCCTTCAGTGTATTCTGATGGATTCTGATGGAATGTGTAAGAAGGAAAAGCTAACAAGGGGAAATGTCAACTTGCTTGCCTCTTCCACTGGCAGTTTTCCTGATTTTCCAACATGACTCACCTTTTCAGCAGCATGTAGCATACTGGATCATTATCTGCTCATTTACAACTAGATCGTTAGATACTTGGAAGGCAGACACAGTGTTTCATTTACGACTGTATTCCTGTACCTAGCACAAAGCCTGCAAACAGAAGACACTAATAAATGTATTTTCTTTTTTTAGAGACAAGGTCTCACTCTGTCACCCAAGCTGGAATGCAGTGGTGTGAGCATGGCTCACTGCAGCCTCGAACTCCTGAACTCAAGCAATCTGCCCTCATAGCCTCCAGGGTAACTGGGACTACAGGCGTGTACCACCATGCCTGACTAATTTTTTAAAACTTTTTGTAGAGACGGGAGTCTTGCTGTATTGTCCAGGCTGATCCTGAACTCCAGTCTTCAAGTGATCCTCCCATCTTGGCCTCCCAAAGTGCTGGGATTACAGGAGAGAGCCGTAGCTCCTGAATTTCATCTGTATTAGTCAGAATGTTATGTGTTAGTCTTTCTGGGCTAGTAAATAGAAAGTTTAGTTTTTTGCCTACTCTCACTTTTATTTAAAATGCTGGTTCCATTCAGCGCTATTTCAATTAACAACCTGACAGGCAATATTTTGACATACACAACTGATATCAACAGTGAATATGTGGCAGCTCTCCAGCTTTTTTAATGAAAGAATAGGTAGATGAAATGTCCATGTGTACTCAGTAATTTGAAAGGAATTGCTCTTTATGTCAAGAATTAAAAGAATGGGAATAAAGTCCAGAAACAAAAGCTTAAACATTTTTCAAGGTATTGACTTAGTAAAAACAGTTTTCTTAGGGAACTACACAGGTTAAAACAATGAATGCATAAGTCACAAAACGGTAACATTTAGAACAGAATATTATGGTACTATTTCAATAAAAATAAATGTAACTGGGTTAATTAATTATTTCTAAAAAGTAAGCTTGAGGTTGGGTGCATTAGCTCATGCTTGTAATCCCAGCACTTTGGGAAGCCAAGGCTGGCAGATCGCCTGAGGTCGGGAGTTCGAGAGCAGCCTGATGAACATGGAGAAACCACATCTCTACTATAAATACAAAATTAGCCTGGCATGGTGGTGCATGCTTGTAATCCCAGCTACTCAGGAGGAGAATCAGGTACTGAGGCGGGAGAATCCGGGAGGCAGGGGTTGCAATGAGCTGAGATTGCACCACTGCACTCCACACCTTGGGCAACAAGAGTGAAACTCCATCTCAAAAAAAAAAAAAAAAAAAAAATTAAGCTTGAGTATTGCTTTAAAAGTTTTTACCGTGTCTTCAAACTGAAACGCATGTTTATTTTATTATTGAATATAAAGTTACATTTCCTTTTCGTAATTTTCCTTGAAAGTAACTGAAAGCCTTCGTATACAACATTATAGTTTTTCTAGATGACAAAAATCCAGGGAGTTGTCATCGAGCCTGTGTGTTTTACAAAAAGAACTACAGTAACATTGAAAATGTTCTGTGAAGAAACTTCTTATGTCTTTTAGTTCAGAGTCTAGGTTCAGAATCTGACATTTGTGTTCTGAGGTTAAAAATTTCCCTGTAGAATAGACACAAATAACAATACCAACACACAAAGTGAACCCCTCAAAAACCTTATAAAATGTGTATGTTATCATGTATTCAAATTTCACATTTTTCCTGAAATTCTTAGGACTAAAAGCTTTGTACTGTAGCAGAAGTTAAACTGAGATACATGCAACACAAGAGAAAATCACTACTGTGCCATTACCTTGCAACAGTGAAGCGCAGCAGCCACAAGAGAACACACAACCAAAGCAGAGCTGAGCAATTCTGCACTGGAACACAAGAACCTATCCGCTTCCCAGCCCCTCCCCTAATGCGCAGGTTATTTCAAGTAATACTTTCAATTTCTATATATATGTAAATTATGTATCTGTGTGTATATATATACATATAAATTTTAAACACATTCAAAAAGAAGGGAATTCAGTTTCTGAACGTAACTATAAAGTGGTTTCCTCAAAGACCATTTGCCTCTCCTTTAAAACTTCCCTATCTAAACAAAACACACCAGTGAACGATTGGCTCACAAGCCTGTAGGCACATCAAGTTGACTAATTAGAGGGATTAAAGGTGAATTTTCAAAAAGGAGTTTAATGCGCTTAGTTTTATTAAACTCTGTGGACAGTAGGAGGAAGAGCTGGCAGGTATGAAAATCAAAAGCAGAGGTTTTTACACTAAATAATTGCCTCTGCCCTCCCACTCCTAGAACTAATATTTCTCTAGCTTGAAAAGTACAGTAAGTATTTTAATCAGGGCATATTTTTCTCTACCCACAGAAAAAATATTAAGTAAATATTTTTTCCAGAACCTTCTCATAAACCTTAAAAGATTAAAAATTTTATCTCCCAATCCCTCCTATCCATATGGCAAATATTCTTCCACCTTTCAAGACTCAATTCAGACCTTTCCTGTCCCACTCCCTCTTTCAGTCACACATTTACAATTTTTGCTAGCCCTAAGAAGAAAGGGTTTGAAATCTCTAAGCCAGAACAACAGCAGGAGGGAACCAGGCTGGCGAGGGAGGTCAGCTCAGGAGAGGAGAGGAGGTACCTCCCAAATGATGATTTGCAAATCCCAGGATCCACATGCGTTTCCAGAAGACTTAGAGAGTGCAGGGGATTTCGGCATGTTTCCATTTCCATTTTTTAAAAATCGATAATGGAAACAATGACCACACTACATGTCCCTTTACCAGGAAGTTGCTGAGAGTCTCCTGTGTT